AACAGTACAGGTCCCAACACCGACAGCCTTTTTCTTGTAATAAGCACAACTCAGAGATAAGCAACTGTAAGCAGCTTGGCTGAAGGTAACTGTTCTCTTACCTTTGGGTCGCCCTGGAAGATGACCTGGCCCATGAAATCTGTATAGAACACAGCTTCAGCGATGACTGAAAACCAGGTCAAGAGGTGACAGACACACAGTCGCAGCAGCTCCTTTGGCATCTTCAGCATCGACAACCACAAGAGTCTGACCGTGGTTTCAGTTTCCCCCTCTTCACTCTCCGTGTCTCCACTTGAGTTTGTTGTGCCGCTCTGATTCCTGTGCCTGTACCTCTGTCGCTGCCGCTTCTGCATGTCGTAGATGTCATTCATGCTGCGCGAGGACTTTATCAAGACGATGGCATTGGCCCGACGAAAGCGATAGCGGTGAGAGCCTATTTTGCCATAGTACGAGAAGGTGTAAGACAGCTGACGGTAGAACATGTGCCTCCGCCTTCGCATGGAGTTCGAAGTACTAGATTGCTTCATGCCTATTCTAGCATGTCCGTTGAGAAACTCTTTTGGTAGGGAGCCATTGATGTTTGGGATTTTATCTTCATTTAAGCGATTATCAAGCAACATTTCCTCCTCTTTCTCATTGTCCCTGAGGAAAGCAGACAGGTGGTTGAGTTTGGACTTCATGATCTCTTGGCTGGTATTGTGGGGAGTGTTTGGATATGAAGCATCCTGAAAAATGGAGGGTTCGATGTCATGCAGAAAAAGCAGTTCTGATTCAATTTCCAAGGTAGCATCGGGCATGTGCAGAACCGAGTCACTCTTACTTCTTACAATGTTCACCTCCAGGAATTCCATACTGAGATCATGCTCTGACTGAACCTCATCATGGAACATAGAGGTTCCATATGGCTCTTCCTCACTAATTACATTCAGTCGATTCAGAGGGGGGAGGCTACCACTAAATTTGACACTGGAAAGTGTGTCCCCTTCGTCATCAATCCTGTCCTGCTGTGGGTTATACTGCTCTTCTTCAATGCTAAAAAGGTGGAGCGCAACGGAGACAGAGAAAATAATGGCTGCAAAGAAGAAAAGGACTTGCTCTTGAGATTTAAAAATACTACCCAAGAAAGTCTGTGTCCAGTCCAGCCCTCCTAACACATAACCGATTGCTCCTCCGAGACCTGTGGAAAAGAAAAAATAAGAAGTGAGTTCAGGAAAAATCAATTCAGTCACAACCTGGTCATCAGGAAGACTTGACAGCTGCCAAAAATATATCCATTAACTCCATACCAGCTGAAAACGCATGGATGTTAAGGGCCATGTCTTGCTCTTCACTGTCCACCACATCCAACAGGTAGGCCCGAATTGGCCCTTCTGTCGCATCAGCGCAGAAGTCCAACACCACAACACCAAGCACCGTGAGAACTATACCAATGGGCTGCTTGTCCGGGACATCACCAATAGCCAGACCTGTGGAAAAACAGAACAGGAATCTGAGCATGTCAGTCAAAAAGAGAAAACTACGAAGAGCAAGGTTAAGCTCCTTAAGAGAGAGGTGGCCAACACACTGGAAATGTTCTTTTACAGAATAAAATGCAAAGTTCAACTCTTTGGCACAACAACTATGGGTGGTTTGGGACAAAGAGGGTGAGTCCAGCTGTGGAGCCCTCAATATCAGAAGGATATAGCCCAGTTGGAGCGAGTCCAGAGGAGGCCACAAAGATGCTCAGAGGGCTGGAGTACCTAACCTATGATGAAAGGCTGCGAGAGTTGGGCTTGTTCAGCCTGGAGAAGAGAAGGCTCCAGGGAGACCTTATTGCAGCCTTCCAGTACCTGAAGGGGCTACAAGGAAGCTGGGGGGGACTTTTTACAAGGGCAGGGAGTGACAGGGCATGGGGCAATGACTTTAAATTGAAAGCAGGGAGATTTAGGTATAAAAAAGAAATTCTTCCCGGAGAGGGTGGTGAGGCACTGGAACAGTTTGCCCAGAGAAGCTGTGGATGCCCCATCCCTGGAAGTGTTCAGGGCCAGGCTGGATGAGGCTTGGAGCAACCTGGTCTAGTGGAAGGGGTCCCTGCCCATGGCAGGGGGGGGGGAACTAGATGATCTTTAAGGTCCCTTCCAAACCAAACCATTCTATGATTCTATGACTTTTAAATTTGTAAGACTGACACTTATTTTTCAAAATGTTATTTTTAAAGTACCTCTCAAACCTTGGAGATCCGGGATATTATTTCAGGTTCTCAGATATATTTTCCCTCAGATGCTGAAGGATGTTTTTACAGAAAGCAGCCATGATGAGAGAGGAAAGCGTCCAAGAGCAAAATGACATACCTCGTCTCTCAGTTACACACACAGACAGGTAACTGTCCTGCTGACAGCATTCCTGACATCGTGCCTAACATGTAATGGTTGCAGCACAACAGCATAGAGTGAGGTTTAACCCTTCTCTTTGCTTTTCTCAAACATTTTCTACATTTCTCTAAAAAGCAGTATTTTCTACATCACTTTTATAGGCAAAGCTTTTAAGGATGAAGCAACATGAAGGTATTTTGCATTGCAAAAAGCATCAGTCAGCTTCTTCTGACAGCACAGAATGAAATGCTTTTTGTTTACAGAGCAGAAAGGCAGCGTTAGGATAGAGTTGAAGAATTTTTCATGAAACAAACCATTGACAAAAGCATGAATTAACTTGAATCAGGGAGATTTAGAAGTTACACATACGAGACTGATAAAACCATGAGTGTAACTGATGAAAATGACAGTGGGAAGAGATGAACTGGCTAAGCCACTAAAAGTCATCTAAATTCTAAGTTCTATGATTCTTGCATATTCAATCCTTGTTTATACCAAGTCCTCTGAATGCTAAAGAAGTTTATACATGCTCCACGCTCGGCTGAATCCTACAGCAGAAATCACCGACAGTGTCAGTGCTTTAGATTTGTTGGAAACCTGCACAGTGCCTACAGCGGAGAGAACTAAAGTTGAACAAGATCTATACACAGCCGTTCTCCCAGGAAGCGACTGTTTACTGTTAGGATTGGCGAAGCTCTTTTTTAGCATGCCCTTGTGCTCCTTGTTCCCCTCCCTGGGACACCTATTGCCAGGGGCCAGGTTATGACAATAAAAAGGTTCCATACAATGACCGCCTCTGTTCTGCAGCATCTCCTGAGGTCCCAAGCTGAAATTAGGAGTGCAAGTAACTGGAGACTGAGGATAGGAACGTGTAAACATCAAATGCAAAGACACTGAAAGCATACAGGGTCCATTTAGAAGAAAATCTGGTTACAAATGAGGCCTTTACCTGCAAAACTCTGAACACCCCCTTTTGTGAGAAACTGGTAAGCGATGCCTTCGGTCTGAAAAGTGACACGGGCCACCATTTCAAAAAGTTCGAATCATAGAATCAGAGAATGGTTAGGGTTGGAAGGGACCTTAAAGATCATCCAGTTCCAACCCCCCTGCCATGGGCAGGGACACCTTCCACTAGACCAGGTTGCTCCAAGCCTCATCCAGCCTGGCCTTGAGCACTTCCAGGGATGGGGCATCCACAGCTTCTCTGGGCAACCTGTCCCAGTGCCTCACCACCCTCTCCAGGAAGAACTTCTTCCTGATATCTAATCTAAACCTCCCCCCTTCCAATTTAAACCCATTCCCCCTTGTCCTGTCACTAGAAGCCCTTGTAAAAAGTCCCCCCCAGCTTCCTTGTAGCCCCTTCAGGTACTGGAAGGCTGCATCATACTGTGCATCTGCTCTAACTAGTAGATCTGGTGGCTGACATGCTGACATGAATTCAATTTTAGTGGCAAATCTCGGTCTTCTAGTACGGAGCAGGTCTAGAGAAGACCATGGAACACCTCTCCTTTCAGGTCAGTTTGCGCCAGGCTCCCTTGGGAGGGGGCCCCTGTTGACTGTGCTTTTCAGAAAAGGGTATTTTTTCAAAATCTACCACAACCACGCCCCAGGAATGGATGTATGAAGCCTACAGCTCACTTTTGCAGTGCATTCCAATAACCTCTGTGTTTTAAAGAAGTTTCATTGCACTAGAGTACTGGGAAGTGCAGGTTTCCTAGAAAGCTATGCAACAGAATGTAGTACTGTATAACAAAAAACTAGAGAAAAATCAAAGACAGTAAGTTTTGCTGATTTATTAGAAAGTGGGATATTTCAAAATAAACTGCATATGAGCTTTGCTTGCCAGTATCAATACCTACTAACCTAAACCACTGAGTGGAAGTAAGAGCTTCCTATCAATTAAAATCCTGTAAAAGGGCTGCAGTCTAACATCTTGTATCCATGTGGATGAGAAGGAATAAGTCTTGGAGACACAACAAAGCACAATTGATACCATATGACAGCAATTCAAATAATTACTATTTATTGCTTGGGTAAATTAAAACCCCATAAGCTAAACATCCTTCATCTGAACAGAAAAATTGAAAACCATCACATGGCATCCCAACCTGGCTTTAAAAAGCTAATGTGCTGAGCCAAGGTAATGTTCCACTTGTTTCCCTCAATTAGTAACTTTTTCACAATAGAGCTGCACCTAACCCAGAAAAAAATGAGAGCCAAGAGGGTATTATTAGGTGCTAAGTTCCTTTCACTTGCATCAGTCCAACCGTGATGTAAACATTTCCCCAAATGTACTTGCTGTCACCTCTCCTACGCTAAATTTACAAAGAGATTGGAGATTGGAGATTAAAATCGGTAGTAAACTATGTTCAAGGGAAACTATTTTTACCAACTTTGATGGGGTCTCAGGAAAAATTATTTTCCCACATAGTTTTTGATAAACAAATATTAACTGTGTTCTGGACTTTTTCAATACCAGGTCTAAGAAAAGCAAAGAAAAAGTGAAAAGATAATTTTTGAAATAATGCTGGAAACAGGATGTGTTGCCAGATATGCATTAAAGGGAAAATGGATCACAACAGGAAACATTTCCCTGTGAACAGGTTGCTACAGTTTTCCCATGTCAAGGATCGACCAAATTCGTCTCAGCGACTGCAAACATTATACTGGCAACCATTGTATTAGTAACACTGTACTACCAGTTACAGCTTTGATTGCACAATACTTAGCACAGCACTGTAACTTTCGAATAAGGATAAAAACATGGAAAATGGGTACCTCAAACACGGCGTTGCAGAGATTTCTAGTGATTTTAACCCTAAACGTAAGTTAAATCAACTGCATATCATTACCTTTACTTTCTACATAAAAATCTTAACGCAGGTACGTTAGCATGAGATATACGTGGGTGATTTCTTCATTATTTACCTATAATAGAGCCATTAAGGAAAAGTGCAACTCCAAAGAGGACGCCAATGCAGAGAGCAAGAATAAAAGGCCGCCGGCGGCCCCAGCTCAGTGTGCAGCGGTCGCTAGCCGAACCTATAAGCGGAGTGAAGATCAAGCCCAGGATGGGGCTAAGGAACCAAGTGAGACTGTAGTATTGTTCAGGAAGACCTAAAACAAAGACAAAAATGATTTAAAGGTTATGTGGTACATGCCAAACATTTCACTTTATGCATGAATTTTTGTTACACCTTTGAAAACTGTAAATTAATCAGTCATTTATCTACAGCAAATTCCTTCCCCAGTGAACAACTCGGCTAAGGTTTCTTATCAATGGTTAAAAAAAAACCCAAAACAATTAAGGGAATCACAGATCATACATCTTCCAAATACCTGGGCAATAAGAAAGTAACAACAGAAGTATTTAAGCTATTGAAATAAAAGTAAAAAAAAAAGTATGTAACAGTGGAATCACTAGTCTATATAAGTTACTACTGTCCGAAAATGTCACATATCTGCTGAATTTTGCAGAGTGTGCTGGATTTCTTTTGACGGGGGTGTTGGTGGGGATGGCTCTGTGAAGAAGTAGCCCCCAGGGTCTTCTGTGTAGAAGCCAAATAGCTTTGCTGCATGCTCTATCCATTTGCAGACTACAAAAACAAAGGATTGTGGGACGCTGGGAAAGCCACCCGGTTGTCACACAGACGTATCTCCTCAGTAGAACTTTTAACATTCAGCCAGAGGTGAACATGACAGCGGTACTGCTCATCGAAGGTCACCACCATAAAGAGTTACTAAAGATTTATCGGACTGAAAATGATGGACAGAATTTGACTGTCATAGGACATGTCCCGTTTCTAAGCACAAAAACGTTTTCTGACAAAACTGAGCAACGGACAATCAAAGAAAATGCAATTATTTGTTAACATTTAGAGAACAACTGAGGAGGCTTTCTTGTCTCCGCCAGCCTTGCTGTTTTTTTCAGAACTGAGGTGACTTCATAGGATCAAATGGAAACAGATTGGATTTATTATGTAGTATTTACCTTGACATAAGACCTTGTTAAAAATACTAATTTCTGGAGAAGGAAAGCCCTGCTTTACACCTGACCAGCAGAGAGAGCAGAGGCCTGCAGATGGCAGACTGGCCCAGAAGAGCAGCCACACCGCTCCGCTGAGCTCAGTCTCCCTCTCACTTGATCAGCACAGGTCAGGTAACCACTCTGACCTGTTTCTTAGCAAAGCATTAAAACCAAAACAAATTCTTGCAGTCCAACTGGTGCTACAACTGAAAAACTCAAGTGGAAGGAAAACCATTTATTATTCAAAACCACATATGAAGACTGTGAGTAGCATCTGACCTTTGCTGGTGAGATCAACCCTGTGCAGTGCGCCGAGGCATCCATTACCAAGCAGGATTATACCAATCCCTACCCAAAATAACCTATGCTGCAAATTTGGAAGTCTAATCTCCTGGTGTTTAAAGTGCCATCAAATCTTGAGCAACGATGCTGGCTTCTTCTACGAGATAAACTGCATTTTCCTGAGACTGTTGTGCGCTCTGCAGCGATGCAGAGATGATATTATAGAAAAATAAGCTTTTTTTTGCCATAAATAACCAATTTCATCATCGGCATTCAACGTTCAGGTCTGAGGTCAAGGCCTATGTGATTTGACTCACCTTTGGCTAACAAACAAGCTAACGACGACAGCCGCCCTGACAAGCAGCGTTATTGGAAGAGACTCTTTCTGAACCCGCGTGACCTGCACTTTCAGCCCAAACACGCCCATAGGCACCCTGCCCACAGGGAATGGGGAAAGCATCATGGTTTAGCCATCTTTCCTTTCTTACAGAGCTGTACCTGGCCTGGAGGCCAATGCTCCACATAGGCCCTTACCAATATTTCCTTTTGCAGCATGGTTTACATCTCCAGGACAGGGATGTGATTGTACAGATGGCACCTTGTTCACGTCATGGTTTCAAATCACTGCCTCTCACTTAGCTTGTCCAAATGCTTGGTGATGCCTTGACTGACAATAAGGAACACTAGGACTGGGAGGGGGGGCATTGTGTTTAAAGCTCTTGTTCAGGAAACCATCATTCCTCCAGATCCCAACCTGCGGTTGCACCATCCAGCTTCTCTTCATGTGCGCGGCACTAATTGTAGGTTGAAGGCAGCAAGCCAGTAATCCAAGTACAAGGGCAGAAGAAACTTCCATCTGCCTGTGGTTTTAACACCCCTTTTAACTTCACCGAGTTCAACAGCCTTCCCAAGCTAGCAGGTTCAGGCACTGTGTGTTCAATTGGCACGTCACCTGCTCCACGATGCTAATGCTTATCAATGCCTGAGCTGGCATATAGATTGGGGGGGGGAAGGTCTGCTTCAAAATAAAAAAGAAGATGGGAAAGAGGAAGCATTTAGTTCAACGGAAGCAAAACGAAACAGTAGGCAAGTTAGGAACCATTTAGGGTGAATGATTTTGCTGCAGGACACAGAAGAAATGGCAACGTGTAGATACTCATCCCTATTTTGCCTCCCCGGAGCCATGCTGTTGAGCAGCAGTTAGGTACCAGAGGTTGCTGTCGTGTGATGCCAACTGACTGCAGCGAGTCGTTCTTCAGCCAAGTTAGAAGATACAGCTTAACTGACGTCACTGAACGTTATTGCAGCGATCACCAACCTCTGGAATAACGTGCTGTCATATCACTGCAAGAGGGATCCATGTTGAGAACAGAAGTTTTTTTTTTGTGAATTACGCTGTGACTTGTGATTTATGAGCTGGGACATCTCAGTCGAGCTCATCTATCAGTAAACACTTGAGAGACGCAGGGAAGGCTTTGCAGTAAATCATACCGTTGCTTTAAATAAACACAGGGGATGAAGGCTAGCGAGAGCGCCGTTACTAGCATTACAAGCATCATCCTATCTTATACGAATAAACAACCTTAAGTAGATAGATACAAGTAAAATGGACACAATTAAGAGACTCTCTCTTAATATTCCAACCATCCATTGAGACAACCAACTCATTTTAATGGAGACTATGAGAAGAAACAACGAGGAAATGCTAGTAGGGCAGGGGCAAGCAATCCAAGTGTACATCCAGGGACAGCGGGGGCTTGCACAGCCCACCATCCCTCTGTTCCTGGGGCCACCGCACCGTCTCCGGTCTATAACAGCACTTGTCTGTGGTGTATACAAGATTTTAACAAAAAGGTTCTGGAAATACTTAATCCATTCAAAATGATGACTTCTGCAGAGAATTAAAACCTGTTTACAAGTATTTTTCCTTCAACTGTAAAAACAGCACATTTCTAAATTGGAAAGATAGGTATTTTTTAATGCTTTATAGGCACAGTTAACCAACTGTCATAAAAATGTCCTAAGATTATTAAAAACCACAGTGATTTTCACTGCCAGCATTACTCTGACTTCAGTACTTTCAAGGTCAAGTTTACATTTAATAACTCAAGATTAAGGCCTGCATTCTGGTTTGATTTTACAGGCCAGTAAAAGAAAGGCAAGAAGGGCTTTAACCCAACCTCTGTTACATGCCTGCAATTAGGGAGTCTTTTTCCATCTATGAGTCAGCAGAGAGGGACTGAAATGTTTCTTGAGAAGGCTTTATTTTCACTGATGGAAAAGAAATCTTCCTAACATCTACGTACTTATAAATAAAAGCCTAAATCCAAATATTGACATTGAAAAGGGCTTACTTTACAAAAGACATGAATCTCAATGATTTCAGAATGGAGCGAGGGATGTACGGTAGTTTTTACGGAAGGGTAAAAAGGACACTTGAACCACGAACATTACGTCTGGAGATCCTTCTTTAGACAAACCACACTGATTTTTTTTCTTTTAATTGAACTACTCTTTAGTGGCCAAACTATCTATCTTTAGAAAAAGAGACCCTGATAAAAATCTATACAAGAATTAATAGCCCCATGCCAAGAAAAAAGGAAGAATTTATAAAAAGCTTTCAGTGCTCCTACAAGTAAACAGGAAAGGGATCACTTTCAAGTGAAACATGAGCAATTCCCACAGATTGTATAATGGTAGGAACCATCAACATGAGCATAATCTGCTTTGTCTTCTGCTGGAGAAGTCATGCTACAGGACTACTTCTGTAACCTAAGTGGCCGGGCTCTTTCCAAGCGCATTCCAAGCGTGAGCTAGCAGTTTATAAAATCATCATGTCTTTTATATATATTTATGCAGAATTCAAAATAGTCACCATTTATTAAGCAAAGTATATGACTTTAAGTATGTAAACTGTGATATCATCACATTAGAATTTAATTGGTTACACAAGTGGAAAATTACTGAGTGGGGGAGAAGATTCTCGGCGGGAAGCCGGTGCACATGCAAGCTAAAATAAAACAGCACAGGTAAAATTTACTGCTAGGAGAACTCCCTCCTGTACCCGTGTGACAGACAGCAGATTCCTCACCTGAACAATGTACAAGCAGGCAAGGAAAGCAATTGTCTTAGCAATGGGTAATACAGTTATCTACCCAAAGCTTCCTTTTGTACTTGTTTTCTTGAAGCTGAGATGTGTTATTGATAAGCTGTGGTCTACCCACTCAAGCAAAACTCTGCGAGACAACTGTGCCAGTGCCTAGAAAAGCCTTCTCTCTCTGTACAGATTTACTTGTCACCTCGACGTCACCCAGCACTGTGGCTGGGAAGTCAGACTTCTCTAAAGCTCACAGCCCTGTTCTGCCATGGGTCTTCCAGGAGAGAGTTCTCAGAGACATTGGGCACTGTCCCATGAAACAAGACTCCAAAACACACCTTGTAGATGTTCTTCCTAAAATTCATGCTTCGTGCTGGTAGAGTCTACAGGTGCTTCATCATTTCAGTAGTGGGTCTGCTTTAGCGCTAGACATTTTGATATAAATGAGAAAGTTCCAGACAGACAAGGACAACTCCAACCCTAAAATACTTTTTTTCCTTAAAAGAGGCTGTTCTGGTTTTAGTATCTTGAATGTCTGCATACGTGATATGCATATTTAGGTTGGCGTGCATGATTTGGCTGTAGATGCAAAATAAATAAGAGGACTGAAAACTGACATACTTAAAAAGTTTGTGTGTGTATATATATATATGTGGGTGTATATATAAGTATGTAAACAACATAAAATCCCCCAAGCCTTACAGAGTTTTG